GCAGGTGAGTTGCCACTGTAGGGCATGTGGGACCCCATCAGCACAGCCCCTGGCGGCTGCGAGCTCCACGTAGCGTGGGGGCCAACCTCTGGAGGAGAGATCTCCAAGGCTGGGATGGCTCACACCAGAGGAAGAGGTCAGGGTACCCGGCCTGGGGTGCTACCCAGGCACCCCACTGCTCTGCCAGCCTCTTACCGAGCTTCCTGGGGCCGGATGGTCCAGTCGAGACCGACCACCTCGTAGCCGGCGCGGGCCAGGTCGCCTTGGCAAAGATGATCTGCGGAGGGAGGAGACGGGCGGTGACTGTGCTGTGGGTCAGAGCCCTCTGCGGGCTGGACTGGAGGAGGTGGTCGCCCAGGGACGTGCCCCTCTGCACCAGCCCCCAGTGCCAGGGACAACCCAGGCAGCCCCGACTCACCATGGGCACCAGGGGCAGCGCCTCCTCCTTCAGCTTGCTCTTGATGGCCCGGGCGATGTCTCGGATGTAGGGCAGGGCAAAGTCCTCAAACTGCTCTGGGCCCAGGTGCCCTGCGTGGGACTCGAACACCTGGAGCGCCTGCCAGGGACAGAATATCACAGAATCCCAGCATGTGAGGAGTTGAAGGGCCCTGCAAAGCTGATCCAGTGCAACCCCTGCCACAGCAGGATCACCAGAGCAGTCACACAGGAACACGGCCAGGGCTTTGGGTGTCTCCACACAAGGAGACTCCACAACCTCTCTGGGCAGCCTGGGCCATGCTCCATAACCCTCACACTCACAAAGTTTCTCCTCCTCTTCAGCTGGAACCTCCTGTGCTCCAGCTTGGGACCATTGCCCCTTGTCCTGCCATTGGCCATCCCAGAGCAGAGCCTGGCTCCTTCCTCCTGACACTGCCCTTTCCCAATGGATCCCCAGGAATGAGGGCACCCCTCAGTCTCCTCTGCTCCAAGCTCAAGAGCCCCAGCTCCCTCAGCCGCTCCTCAGCAGGAGATGCTCCACTCCCTCCAGCATCTTTGTGGCCCTGCTGGACTCTTTCAAGCAGTTCCTGTCCTTCTGGAGCTGAGGGCCCAGCACTGGACACAATACTCCAATATTGTGAAATATGGGGCTGGAACAGCCACCCCTTGGCTCCTCTTCCTCCCAGCTCCCTGTCCCCAGTCCCTGCCATCTCTCCATGCCCCAGGACACACCTGCGCTCCAGCAGCCACCTGTCCCACCAGGAAGTCAACGATGACATCGGCCAGCAGCCGCAGCAGCCGGGGGGCCGCCCCACGGCAGCCAGCTCTTGGCCTTGGCCATCGTAGTGGAGCCACCGCCTTCAATCATGTAGGACATGAGCGTCCACTGTGGGAAGGAGTGAGAAGGGTGAGGAGACAGAAGCAGATCGGCCACTATAGCACCTCCAACGCTGGGGGTGCCGTGGCTGGTGCCGCCCCAGCAGAAAGAGCAGAGAAGCTCACACGGGAGAGGTGCATCGCTTACAGGCGCCCCGGAGAAGCCGATGAGGGGGACCTTGCCCTCCAGGCTGTGTCGTGTCAGCGTGATGGCCTGGAAGACGTAACCCAGCTCCGCGGTCACGTCCACCTTCTGCCGCAGCTTCAGCAGATCTTCCACCTCCTTCAGGGGCTCTGTGAACGTGGGTCCTTTGCCGGGGACCATGACGACCTCCATGCCCAGCGCCTGGGGACAGGGGAGAATGGATGAAGCAGGAAGGGGGTGAGC